TTGATAACAGCTCATTTTTGCTCGGTCCTGTTGACAGTTTGCAACTTCTGTCTCATTTTACAGTAGAAAATGATGCTTTCATGTCGTCTTCACGGTATCTATCGTTTTTTCATCACCTCCAGTAATCCCCGTTTTCAGATGATTAAATAGAACAGATAACAGGTCTCTTAGGCTGTCCTTCACCATTTGATAAATGTCCTTTCTAGTATAAACAGTTCCTGGCAAGTGGAGCCGGAAACAAAGAAGTATATAAAGGTATCACTACTGCTTAGTATATCACATATTTTGTGAAATCTGTATTCAAAGAATGAGAAAATCATTAAAATGTAATACGATTCTTGCCTTATTCTTTTATATGCAGGGTGTTTGAAATTATTTTAATTGTTTATAGTTTTAAAATTGAACCTGCGTACAAGGTTATGATTTTATTACTAATTTTGTCAAAATAGAAATGTCAGCCGATACCAACAATTATATATTTATGCATTATTTTAGCCCGAACCGTGTACTACATCACCCTATCATTGAAATTCTCAGAATAGGAATTTTGTCTTTACTATGGCCGGTTTTCAGGCGATTTATTCCACGGTGCGTCGATGGTCGTGGTCCCATGATTAATGGTTACGATTTGCGATGGCATAGTAGGTCATGAAACCAAAAGACCACTCGCATACTCCACTGATGCTCCCATGATCCTTCTTCCAATAGTCTTTGAATAGTCTCTTCTATCTCATCTCTCCATGAACTTCTTCGCCGCCATTTCTTTCTTCCTCCAATCGAGCTCCAGTCCGTCACTTTGTTGATCCATCTGTTTCTCGCTGCTCTAACATACCGTTTTGGTGTCTATGTGACGTATTACATCTTTTTAGAAAACTTCTGGATTTCTCCTGCACCGGTTTTTGTTGAGTCGAACTTTGAGGGATCGAAGATGTTTGGATTTTCTGATACTAGGTTAGCTATTAATTAAAAAAAATATATATTTTCAAGCAAAACAATAGTCGTTTGCAGTAGGTGGGTTTCGAACCTCCGCTGAATCTGTCTGCAAGTCTAACTATTTCTTTCTGATGATGATATTCGACAAAATTTGTTGATATTAGGTTAGCTGTTAATTAAAATATAATTAATTAGTTAATTTATATATATATATATATATATATATATATATATATATATATATATATATATATATATATATATATATATATATATATATATATATATATATATATTCTCACGTATTGATTCACGGATGGAAAAATGTGATGACACTATATTCCGGGATATCATCCGTTCGCTCGTTGAACTCCGACTGGAATCCTGCATCCGACTGGAATCCTGCAAGTCTTGCATCCGACTGGAATCCTGCAGACGTTTCGCCAAAATCTCACTTGGCATCTTCAATGCTCGCGTTCCGAAAACACTTCGAACACTATATATATATATATATATATATATATATATATATATATATATATATATATATATATATATATATATATATATATATATATATATATATATATATATATATATATATATATATATATATATATATATATATATATATATATATATATATATATATATATATATATATATATATATATATATATATATATATATATATATATATATATATATATATATATATATATATATATATATATATATGATGACACTATATTCCGGGATATCATCCGTTCGCTCGTTGAACTCCGACTGGAATCCTGCATCCGACTGGAATCCTGCAAATCTTGCATCCGACTGGAATCCTGCAGACGTTTCGCCAAAATCTCACTTGGCATCTTCAATGCTCGCGCTCCGAAAACACTTCGAACACTTCAACTTTCGAACTTCACTTCGAACAGTTCAACGAGCGAACGGATGATATCCCGGAATATAGTGTCATCACATTTTTCCATCCGTGAATCAATACGTGAGAATATATATATATATATATATATATATATATATATATATATATATATATATATATTATATATATATATATATATATATATATATATATATATATATATATATATATATATATATATATATATATATATATATATATATATATATATATATATATATATATATATATATAAAATATATAAATAGTATAATAGTTTATTATGTACGGAATTCAGGAGTTTCTGTTTGCAAAAATTTTTTTCGGAAACTTTCAAAATATCTAACAGAAGATGTCTCGCGGTCTTCACAAAAAGGTTGGTTCATTTAGAAAAACAGATGAAGGTAAGATTAAAGTTGTACGAGAACATGTTCTGAGTTTTCCAGCATGTTAGAGCCATAACACTTCTGGTCGAAAATATCTAAGTCAAGACGTAAATATTCTAAAAACATATGGGCCGTGCGTATAAAAAATACAATAAATAAATATACAATGGAAGAGATTTCTAAAAATGCTCCATATAAGATGTTTTATGAGACTTCTTTGGATGAAAACTCCGAACTGAAAGTATTACACCTTTCACCTGAAAGAGGAAGGCCAAAAATATACGAAAATTATACACAACCATTAGACCAATCACAGATGAAAAACGTAAAACGCTTTACTTCTCTAAATACTAAAAAATAAATTACTTAGCTACAATGTAATAAATTTGATTAAAATGTTAATTTTTAAAAAACTTTTTTCCTGGATGGTTTAAGTCATTATATAATTTTTCGAAAATTATATAAATAAATTCAATATCTCAAAACCACATTTCCTTTTAAAAATGGTTATAAATTTCGCATTCATAATAAATACTTATTTGTTTGCACTATTTGATTGTCAAAACATTTTATTCCATAATACAAAAAAATTTTTAGTCCTTTATATTGCAAACCTCTTAATATCCCGAAACAACAAATATATGACGTATACCATCTTCATAATCAAGGGCTCATATTTTCATGGAAGTTCCTTAGCATAAATCGTACTTTGCATATTTTCTGGTGTTGTTGTAGAAATCTAATCTAAAACTTCAAATTATTTTTCCTCATGTCCTCTTTCCGGTTTATGACTTTCCGTTTTTCATATTCAAAACTACCCCCAGCATCAAACCGTTCCACTAAACACTGAAAACATTGTATACTTGGTATACTACTTCGTCTTGTAAAGTCTCACGTTTTTTTTTTTCGCTTCACTCGGTATATAAATCATATTAATTAATTCAGCTTTAGGAAAATCCATATTATTTTTTTTTTAATTTCTGACACCAAAATACATGTTATGAATCTATTTACTCAGTTGTCAGCTAAAAATTTGACGATGTCAGTTTGTCTTGGCCAACTAATGTTATGGCAATAGTCTTAGACAGAAAGGAGGGTAAAAATTGGAAAAGTTAAAATATACTTAAGAGTTAAAGGTTTACGTTAGATCTTGAAGAGAAAATAATAATATACATAGTGTGCCATTTAAGATCCAAATATAACATATATTTATATTTAAAAATAATGTCGCTTTCGATAATTTTTTGCTAGTGTGAAAACCAGAACTTTTTAATTAAAATATTGGAAAAGCTCTTAAGTTTGGATATGTATTATTAATAATAAAAAAGTTAAAGAATTTTAAAAGGGCTCGTGTTCCATTTTAAAAAATATATTCAATTGAACTGGTTTACTAACCGCGGTGGATATGGGATTTGCTTTTACTGTGTTTCAATGGCACTTTTTTTTTCAAATGTTATTAATTACTTTCTTCCTCTGCAATGAATTGTGTGAATCAGACACCCAGTATACTGATTTTCTGTCAAAAATGTCCCACTAGCAGCAAAGAGGTACGATTTTGGGAAAAAAAGAGAAGAAAAACGTAGGCAGTAGATCGACCAATTGAAAATATTGAGAACTACACACTAGAAAATTTCATGCCAAATTTTACACGAAAAGTGATCTTCGCACCAGTTTGTGTATTTCACACCAAGGATGTTGGTAATTTTTACCAGTATTCAAAGTACAATGGAATACAAAATAGAGTTAAACATAGCAATGTAATCTATTGTTAAACGGACGTCTTAACATACATTTGATCGTGTAAACATTACCCAAAACAGTGTTGAATAAAATATACTGAATCATCTTAATGTATAATGTTATTGAGCCTACCTTTTTTTATTTTTCAATTTAGAAAAAATTCTTAAATTTAAAGTGTGGTGCTTGAAAATATTATTTTGATGCTTTTTTATTACTATGCGATTTACATTTTATTTTGTTTTTTCTTGAAAGTTCTATACATTAAATACTCATTAAACCGACAAAGAGAAAATGTTGAGAACTACACACTAGAAAATTTCATGCCAAATTTTACTCGAAAAGTGATCTTCGCACCAGTTTGTGTACATTTCGCACCAAGGATGTTGGTAATTTTTACCAGAATTCAAAGTACAATTTAATACAAAATAGTGTTACACATAATTCACTAATTTAGGGAAACTATACACATACCAATGTAATCTATTGTTAAACGGACGTGTTCACATGCATTGGATCGTGTAAACATTACCCAAAACAGTGTTAAATAGAACATACTGAATCATCTTAATGTACAATGTTATTGACCACAACTTTTTTTATTTTTCAATTTAGAAAAAAATCTTAAAATTAAAGTGCGGTGCTTGAAAACTTTTTTTCATGCTTCTTTATTACTGTGCTGTTTAGTTTTTTTTTGTTTTTTTAATAGTTCTATACATTTTTTTAGCATAGCTTAATTTGACGCAGAATTCGAAAATGAATTTAGAAAAATGTTGTTCTATATTTTCTATTTAATGCAAAAAATCTTTTGTATTTATCATTGTTTCATAACTTTTGAAACCAGTACAGTGAGACACGCTGTATGTAGCGATCGCAACAGACTGCAGATAATATACAATGTCGACTGTTTTCAATTTATTTTAAAGTAACGGCAACGCAGACAAGACAAAAATGACACTTGCGTCGAATGTACCGAGAATCCCGAAAAAAAAACCTCAAGTGTAATCGAAATTAATTCTTACTTGATATATAGAGCCGCCGTCGTCTATTGTTGCATAATATCTGCTGTTTCGTCGATATTTCAAAGGTCATCCAGAAGGGCACTCGAGCATCGATTCCCGGATGCATTCGGCCATCGAGGAGTTCCTCTGAAACCATAAGTAAGGCTTTAACACAGTTTTCGACTTTTAGAAGCCTCCGGTGATTCAAATTTCGTAAATCGAAATCGACCGGTGAAATTGAAGATTCTATTATTTCTGTAATGCGGAGTAGAATACGCATAAGTTGTAATTTAATTGCGTTTAAATATAGATTAATTAAAACGGCAAGCAAGATGTGTTGCCTATAGACATTTGACACTCACCAAAACCAATAGAATTATGGTACTGATTTGGGGTCATAAATAAATCTTAGTGTATTAGCTACTGGAAATATTACTTTTACTATTATAAAAGTTATCAAATGATTAAATTTTATTCAGAAATATCTACATTAATTAAAATAACAAGCAAGATGTGGTGCCTATAAATTGTTGACACCAAAACGCAAATTAATAAATGTTTTATTTAAATACCTGTAAAAAAATTCCGCATGTATCGATATGTAGATGCCAATATCTAAAATAATAAATAAATAATAATAAATGACTTAAATTAGGCAATATGAATATTTATACAGAGTAGCTCAGATATTGGAAATATGACTTTCACTGCCATAAAATTTATCAAATTAATATAAAAGTATCTCAAAATGTGTATATTAATTAAAATGGCAAACAATATGTGTTGACATCAAAACCGAAATTAATACTTTTTTTGTATTGATTTGGGGTTACAAATGAATGCTTTATTTAAATATACATAACAAATGCAGATTATTACATTACAATTTATACAGAGTCGATTAAATTTGATTAATATAAAAGTGTTTAAAAAAATATTTATTAATTGATATGGCGAACAAGATATGTTGTCTGTAGCATCTTTAATTTCTTTAAGTTAATACGTTTTTTGTACTGCTTTGGGGTCACAAATAAATGTTTTCGTTATATATCTGTAACAAATTCCAGATCCAGATAGTAATATCCAGTTTAACTACCTAAATTAGGCAATTTAAATATTTATACACAGTGGCCCACAGTCGATTAGCTATTCGAAATATTGCTTAATTAATTTATTAATTAATATGGCAAGCAAGATGTGTTGCCTATAGACTGTTGACAACTAAACCAAAATTAATGAGCCTTTCGTACTGAATTGGGGTCACAAATAAATGTTTTTATTTAAATATATGTAACAAATTTCACAGCGTGTCAACATATGGATGTTAATACGCTGTGATTTAAAAATTTAATCATGTGATATATTTTATAGGACTAAAAGTAATATTTCCTATAGCTAATCGGCTGTGAGCCACTCTGTATAAATATTTAAACTGACTAGTTTATGGTGTTTAAAGTGCATGTTAGTATCTGGATACTGTACCGTACTGAATCCGGGTCACAAATAAATGTTTTCTTTAAATATATGTAACAAATGCCATACCTCATTAATATCCAGATGCTAATATGCAGTTTAAATAACTTAAATTAGACAACTTAGGAATTTATACAGAGTGATGATTAAATTTGATTAATGTAAAAGTGTTTAAAAATATATTTATTAATAAAAATTGCAACAAAAATATGTTATCTACAGATTCGTCACATCAAAACTGAAGTTAATATGTTTTTTGTATTGATTTGGGGTATCAAATAAATGTTTTATTTAAACACCTGTAACAAATCCCACAGCCTATCGATATTCAGATACTAATATGCACTTTAAACGACTTAAATTAGTCAATTTAAGTATTTATATGGATTAGCTATGGCAAATATTGCTTTTACTCCTGTAAAATTTATGAATGATTTGTTTAATGTAATTAAAATTGCCAGCAAGATGTGTTGCCTATAGATTGTTGACAACAAAACCAAAATTAATATTTTTTTTGTACTGAATTGGGGTAACAAATAAATGTTTTCTTTAAATATATGTATGCCAATATGCAGTTTAAACAACTTAAGAATTTATACAGAGTGACGATTAAATTTGATTAATGTAAAAGTGTCAAAAAATATATTTATTAATAAAAATGGCAAGCACAATATGTTGTTTACGGATTCTTCACATCAAAACTAAAGTTAATACGTTTTTTGTACTGATTTGGGGCAACAAGTAAATGTTTTATTTAAATATCTGTTACAAATCCCACATCATATCATATTAAATTTAAATATTTATACAGAGTAGCTCACAGCCGATTAGCTATGGGAAATATTGCTTTTACTCGTATAAAATTTCTCAAATGATTAAATGTGTTTAACGTAAAGGTTTTTAAAAATGTGTATATTAATTAAAATGGCAAGCAAGCAAGATGAGTTGCCTATAGATTGTTGACAACGAAACCGAAATTAACACGTTTTTTGTACTGATTTGGGGACACAAATAAATGTAAGTGAAATAGCTATTGGAAATATTACTTTTATTATTATAAAATTTATCAGATGATTAAATTTGATTAAAAATATCTATAAGAATTAAAATGACATGCAAGATGTGGTGCATATAACTTGTTGACACCAAAACCCAAATTAATACGTTTTTTGTACTGAATTGGGATCAGAAACAAATGTTTTATTTAAATGCTTGTAGAAAAAATCCACACTAATATATTAATATATAATAATATGACTTTTACTGCTATAAAATTTATCATATGATTAAATTTGATTAATGTAAAAGTATTTAAAAATGTGTATATTAATTAAAATGGCAAACAAGATGTGTTGCCTATAAATAGTTGATATCAAAACCGAAATTAACACGTTTTTTGTACTGATTTGGGGTCACATTTACATATATATATATATATATATATATATATATATATATATATATATATATATATATATATATATATATATATATATATATATATATATATATATATATATATATATATATATCAAATCCAGATGCCAATATTCAATTTAAACAACTTAAATGACACAACTTGAGAATTTATACACAGTGGCTCTCAGACGATTAAATTTGATTAATATAAAAGTGTTTAAAAATAATTTATTAATAAAAATGGCAAGCAAGATATGTTGTCTATAGACTCTTTAATTTCCATAAGTTAATAATAATAATAAATAGTTAATAATTGTTTTATTTAAATATCTGTAACAAATTCCTCAGCATATCAATATCCAGTACTATAAAATTTGTCAATTGATTAATGTAGAAGTATTTAAAAATCTTTATATTAATTAAAATGCCAAGCAAGGTGTGAATGTGTGTGTGTGCTTATAGATTCTTGACAACAAAACCAAAATTAATACGTTTTTTGTACTGTATTGGAGTCACTAATAAATGTTTTCTTTATATTTGCCATACCTAATTAATATCCAAATTAATATGCAGTTTAAATAACTTAAATTAGACAACTTAGGAATTTATACAGAGTGATGATTAAATTTGATTAATGTAAAAGTGTTCAAAAATATATTTATTAATTAAAATGGAAAGCAAGATGTGTTACCTATAGATTCTTGACATCAAAACTAAAGTTAATACGTTTTTTCTACTAATTTGGGGTCGCTAATAAATGTTTTGTTTGAATATCTGTAACCTATTCCTCAGGGTATCAATATCCAGATACTAAAATGCAATTTAAACGACTTGAATTAGATATCTTAAAAATTTATGCAGAGGCTCTCAGACGATTAACTATTAGAAATATTACTTTCACTACTATAAAATTTTTCAAATGGTTTAATTTGATTAATGTAAAACTATTTAAAAATGTGTATATTCATTAAAATGGCAAGCCAGATGTGTTGCGTATAGGTTATTGAGAGCAAAACCAAAATTAATACTATTTAATATTATACTACTTATATTTGTACTGAATTGGGGTCACAAATAAATGTTTTTATTTAAATACCTGTAACAAATCCCGTATCAATATCCAGAACTCCAATATGCAGTTTAAATGACTTAAATTAGACAATTTAAATTGCAAGCAATATGCGTTGCCTATAGAATGTTGACACCAAAACCAAAATTAATAATAAATTAATACGTTTTTTGTTTTATTTGCGATATCTGCAACAAATTTCGCTGCGAATCAATATCCGATTTATAAGGAGTGATTAGTTATTAGAAATACTAATTTTACTACTACATAATTTACCACAAAAAATTAATTTATTTAACGTATTAATGGAATTTTATTTAAAAAAAATATAATTATGTTTAGGTACAGGATGTCTTGACATCTTACCTCCAGGTTTTATCATTAGTTATAGAAAAAAATTTTTGATACAACACTTGTATGGAACCGACAGAATTTTTTGTGAAATTGAATTAAAAAATAACAATTTCATTCAATCAAAATCTTCATCAATCTGAAACTAAAACATTAACGGCATACAAAGGAAGGTGTTAAGTAAAAAAAAATTTAAATATTAAATTTTTGACGTTAAAAAGACAACAAGCAATGCATTTCACCGTAGTTCCGCTAGTCTGTATAATTGTTACCCAAGATGGCGACATAATGTTGCTCTTCAACGAAAACGATAAGCAAAACTTTTGTTATTAACGAGAAAATATTTAACCTCGAAACTTATCAAGTGCCCTATTTTCGGATTGCGCGTTAACAAAACTTTTACAATAATGGGTTCTTATCTCCAGCAGCATCCGGAAGAACTGTACTCATTCGGCAACGTCGCAAGAATCACTTACGCACGAAACGGGTTTACCTCATTTCATTTTTAAGTCACTCGCACCTAAACGATGTCTTTAACGACACTCGGCTAAGGAAAACGATTGCGAAAAAATAAATCCGGCTACCCTTTGGCCGGGAACGTCGACAATCTACTGGAAAAATTCAAAACCCACTTTCCAGAAATAATCGATAACTGACGGTGTTGCCGTGGACGCTGAGAAAGTGGAAAGTTACGCGCTGGATACGGCACCTGCGTCATCACTTTTGTGTACACTCACCGAAATAACTTTCCCGCAAATGAAAATAATCGTCTTGTTATACGTTGAAAATGGAAATAGAACAACGCTTAAAATGAGTGACGTAAGAATACGTAATTTTACGTACACAAACAATAAATTAAATTATACTTTGACCAGAATTATAGTGCCTTTTTACTGTTTATTACTCCAAAACCGAAGCCCCTTATAGAACACCCTGTCGAGCAGACCCTTAAAAGTAATCAATCCAGGACCGTCCTAGGAATTTATCTACATACATTAACAACCGGGTTAAAAGTATGTTTTCAATCTTTTTCGTCGAGCATGTACATATAAAAATTAGTACAATGTAACAATTTATTACGTTCTATGTCACTTGTTTTTATTGCTGCTCCTACTTCCCATTCCGAATTTCTTATAAAATTGTAAACATTCAAAACAATATGTTTAGCATCCGAAGACGAATGGATCCGTTTTTTTTTTATCAAGCTGAGGTAGTTCGTCATCTAAATTGTCATTAGGTTCGACTACCATCTCCACTGCGTTCTGTGTTGTTTTCTGACCCGATCTCCACATTTTAAAGTTTAAGTGTTAAAAAACAGGAATATCCAAAAAATGTTTAATTGTAAGATTCTAATAAATATTTATCTGTATTCTTATGACGTAACGTCTGTTCATAGATATAAGAAACTGACTAACTGATATGAATTAAGGAAAGACCCGGGCAAGCTGTAAGAATGAAATATGGCCGACCAGGTCCGTACTTTGCTTAGAATTAAATTATTTGGGGTTTTGTTAGGAAAGATACTAAACAATATTTATTTATTTGTTAAAAACTTCGGTTTCTATAAGTTTGAGGACATTGGAGTTAACACGGGGAAAAGTATTGTTACGACGAATGGCAGATTTCAGTTGGTGCCAAACATGTTCAATGAGATTAAATGTACAGTGGCAACGTGGAAACCTTAAAACTGTATGCCCTGTGTGTGTAGGTTCAAGCTTTTTAAAAGTTCAATTAACTGCTTTTTGGTATAATCTTCGTGAAAATAAATGTCGTTATTATACATGTAGTTTTGGATTGTTGCTTTTGTGTCACATGAGGAAGGGGTTTTAGTCAACTGTCTACTGTGATAACTTGCATTGTCCATCACAATTACGCTATTAGGAGGAATATTTAAAACTAGTTCGTTTCTAAACCAACTTTCAAATAAATCAGCGATGGTGTCTTCGTGGTAATCCAGAGAAGAATCTTTAATATTTTTTGCAGACAGAGAAAATCCATTTAGAATCTAACCATCTTTAGAGCCAGCATGCAAAATAGTTATTCTTTTACCTCTTTTTGATGGCGCATAAGTGTCGAACCAGGTTTCATCCAAGTAAATAATTGGCCTTTGTTGTTCTATGTAAATTCTAATTTTTTCTAGATATTCCAGTCGCCATTTCCGAATTCTAGGAGATTCCATTAAAACTTGCCTTTTGTCAATTTTTTAAAATCTAAAACTCATGTGTTAAATACACCTCCATAAGGTTGTCAGGTCATCTTTTTCAAGGCACGCTTTGTTCCTCATATAACTGGTAAATTTTACGCCGTATTATATCTTGATCACTTTCATCTACACTCGAGAAAATGTCAGCATCGCTTCTTTTTTTCCTCGCTGAAATGGGATTATTCACAATTTTCCATACAGTTAATGATGGAATTTTCGTCAATGTGGCCGTTTCTTCTAAAGATGTTTGCTTGCTGGCACCATGTTCAATGAGAGTCAAATAAACATTGTTTATAACTTCCTTAGTCTCAATAGAAAAGTGTTTTCTACATTTGGGCGGGAGCATCTCCTGAGATGCACTAGACTCGCACATATTTTGCATAATTCGCACACGATTCAACACACGCTGCATTACACACGAAATAAGAATGATCACTAATAAACTTAAACTAAGTAGTATACCAATCTAAAGAATATTAAATACAGGTTGGTATAAAATTATTTTCTATTACGGACCACAATTTTACCTGAATTTAAATTCCGAAACTTTAGGAAAAATATTAAAGATTCTTCTCTGGATTACCATGAAGACACCACCACTGATTTATTTAAAAGTTGATTTAAAAACAAACTAGTGCCAAACATTCCTCCTAACAGCGTAATTGTAATAGAAAATGCAAGTTATCACAGTAGACAGTTGACTAAAACCCCTTCCTCATATGACACAAAAGCAACAATCCAAAACTGCATGTATAATAACGACATTTATTTTCACGAAGATTATACAAAAAAGCAATTAATTGAGGTTCTACATAGCTTGAACCTACAAAAGCAATACGTCTGTGATAATTATGCAAAAAATCTAGGGCATACAGTTTTAAGGCTGCCACCTTACCACTTTTCATCAACCACCAACTGAAATCTGCCCTTCGTCGTAACAATGTTTTCCCCGTGTTAACTCCAATGTCCTCAAACTTATAGAAACCGAAGTTTTAAACAAAGTTGGGCAAAATCTGTTAAACATATAGAAAAAGCAGAACAATCGTATATCCATATTGCAAATGATATAGAACAAATAATAATTACAACAGGGGACGATAGCGATAGTGATACTGATATATTATGTGAATAATTTTAAGTAATTTAAGCAGGTAATAAAAATAATTTGTAATTTTTTTTAGATTCGAATATATATACATACATAAATAAATAAATATTGGTTGTATCTTTCCTAACGAAACCCCAAATAATTAAATTCTAAGCAATGTACGTACCTGTTCGGCCATATTTCATTCTTACGGCTTGCCCGGGTCTTTCCTTAATTCGTATCAGTTAGTCACTTTCTTATATCTATGAACAGACTTTAGCTTTAAATTCTTCTAATTGAGAATGTAGCATATGAGTCCATGAGATGCAGGGCCATAACAAACAAAGTGTGATGATGAAAAAGATTTGCGTAGAATTTCAAAACTTTACTGACGACTAACAGCTGAACAAAATACATTGGATGAGGTACTAATCAAGAGAGGAGTTCCACAAGGTTGCGTTTTGTCTCCATCGTTTTATTCGGAAGCCATATTTTGAGAGGCACTGGATGGAATTCACGACTGAATAAAGATTAATCAATCAAAAAATAACCAGCATTGAAGTTCTAATTACCATACAGAAGTCTCTGGAGTGATTGGACATAATAAAACAGGGAAAGATTCAATATATGGCTCACATTATGAGAGGCGAAAGATGGATTTGTGAAATTGATAATGGAATGCACCTCAGGAGATGCTTTAACCGCTCATCAATATAAATATTGATGATTGATGATGATAATATACTTCAGAACATCTTCAATATTATGAGAACATCTGGTGTTGTACTATAGGTCCGTAGATACAGGTTATACTATTCAAAAACTCTGCTGTTTAACCACACGGTTACATAAAGCAACGGAAAATATTCCGTAGGAAACTTAGAAATGACGTAATTCGGAAGTCTAACTTTCGGCGTGTGACAATCCGTCTCACTTGAGAAAAGTTCCTTTCCGACTCGAAACAGCGTATTTCAATTTGAGTTGAATTTTCTGTTCAGTTGCTGTCCGTCAGTAATGCTGTTTATGTCGTTTTGCACTTTACCAAGAAAGTTGGAATATGGCTCGGTTGTTGTTTTTCGATTCGGCTGACCCGAAACATACGAACGTACTTGCTCAAGTTAAATTGATTTGTGTCTGAAATTGACCTTAATATTGTGTTTTTTTTTTAGAAATAACATAAACATAAAACTTTTTTTGGTTTGTTTTAAAAAATCACCTATGAGAACATTAATTGCGTTCTACGTTTCGGTGACTTCGTCAATTAGTTCTTTATAGTGTATCAACAGATGCGGAAACTTTTGCTTTTTAAGATATCGAAAAGAAGTATAAAATTGAAAGTGTGCAATACCCACCAGATGCCGACAAGTAACCTAAACGTAGGAAAAAAAAGGCAACATTGGAAAAAAATGCAGCAACGCCATATGAAAATCAGCCTGATGAAACTTTTCAAGGAAATTAGGGACAGATTTAATTGACCAGCTATATAAAAACCTACTTATAAGTTACAAAAAGAAGATTATGAAGAAAACGGGAAAAAGATTTAAATATTCTACAAAAATTTGACCATATGCGACATGTTTATATACAGGGAGTTTTCTAATTGAATGAATTGAATGAAAAAGCTTCCTATGGACATGTGATTCACAGATTAAACGACGCAATCGCTATAATCAAAACTAACTGGTTTGAATGTCTCTGTATTGATTTGGAAAAACAACAACTTTTTGAAATTAAGTTAGTAAAGGGCCTTCTAAAAAAGTGTGAATTACTTTTTGTCTTAGTTAACAACAAAGAATTAATTTAAATATATACATTATTAACGTCACAGCTTAAATGATGCAAAACAAAATATAACCAAATCAATAGAGAAAAACAACTGCACAATTTGAAATACTCCTGCCAATATTTAGTCGGTCCTCTCTCATTATCGATAACGGATTGTAGTCTCCTGGGTATTGATTCAACTAATTTTCTAGTATACTCCGTGGAAATTGTGTTCCATACTTCAGTAATTTTTAATTTTAATTCATCCTTGTTAAATGGTGGGACACTGTTTACTTTGTTTTTTAATGTCAACCACGAATTTTAAATTAAATTTAAGTCTAGTGACTGGGCTGGTGTCTTAACATTTGGGCAATTATAAAGCAACGAGGTGTGCTTTGGATCACTGTCATGATACAACCGATAATTGTTACCCATATTTAATTTTTGGGCACTAGCAACGAGATGCTGTCATATGCACATATTGCTTTATATTTCCTTCAATGAAATACATATTACATACTCCTGCAGAAGACATACAGCCCCATAACATCACTCCACCTCCACCTTGCTTTTAAATTTTTCAATTTAATTCTTCCT